ATGTTGTGTCCAGCCCATGTATTCATGCTTCACGCATTAGTCACGTGAACTTTGGGCTTCAGAGCATAGTCCAGTTCTTTAACAACCTTTGCAGACTAAAGAAGTTGTGGTGGGAAGACAAGAGTTCATTTTAAAGTTATTTACTAGACCATGGAGGATTTGGACTGTGATTTAAGGCAAACAGGTAGCAACTTCAGTGGTGTATCATGGGGACAGCCATGGCTTTACCTACCTGAAAGAAACTCCCTGCCAACTTTGCCGAAAATCTAAAATCCCCACGGGAACCAGGATCCTTAAGGGCCTCTTTCATGGTTGTTTTTATATATCTTTTCATGTTTGCTTGAGGAAAGGTCCATTTGCTAATGAATGTTTTATTTGGGGGTGGGGTGTGGTGCATAGAACACATCACATTTTTTTAAGTTTATTTTGGGAGAGAGAGGACATGAGCAGGTGAGGGACAGAGAGAGAATAAAGCACAGAGCCCAACACAGGGCTCGAACTCACAAATGGCGAGATCATGACCTGATCTGAAATCAAGAGTCAGACACTTAACGAACTGAGCCACCCAGGCACCCCATTAGCAGATGTTTTATTAATTCATAGTGTACCACTAGTAGTAGGACTCCCATTAAAATGGAACACAGAAAAGTAAGGTTACTTACTGTGCATATGTGGAAGGGAGTATGGATATAAGTGAAGCCCAAGGGCCGGAGCACAATATTTGGGGCCCTTCCAAATTAGGCGCCATTTGGGGGGAATCTAATGGCCAGGGCAATGAGGAAAGACATCAAAAATAAATCAACCAGGGGCACCTGGGTGGCTCAGTCAGTTAAGCGTCCAATTTCAGCTCAGGTCATTGTCTCACAGTTCATGGGTTTGAGCCCCACATCAGGCTCTGTGCTGACAGCTATCTCAGAGCCTGGAGCCTGCTTCAGATTCTGTGTCTCCCTCTCTCTCTGACCCGCCCCTGCTCACGCTCTCTCTCTCTCTCAGAAATAAATAAAACATTAAAAAAAATATAAAAAATAAAAATAAATCAACCAGTGTCTGCCAAGCACTTTCTACATGACAGTCAATGCAGCAAGTGCCCTTAGAGACCAAAAGAAGGAAAAATATGACAAGGACTTTTTGCTCAAGGAAGCTGCTACTACGAATAGTGTCTGGGAAAGAAATAATTATCATAATTATGGAATGTTTACTGTGTGTTAGATATTGTTCTTAATGCAATGTATGTGTCATCTGATTAATGCTCTCATCAACCCTATGAGATAGGTACAATGACTATATTCATTTTACAGATCTGGAAACTGAGGCGTAAGGGAATCCAAAGTCTTTGAAACTTAAGACCCAGGCATTCTGACTCCAGAGCCCTTGCTCTTAAATGTTATGCAATACTACCTCTAAGACAGTTTTTTAATATTTCAGGGCCTCTGGGAAAAGGTGAAAGAGAAATGTAAGAGTATGCTTGGCAGAGCGCAGTTTGGGATGCCAGATTTCTTCTACCTCACCACTGGAAGTCTTGTAAAATGTGAAATATACATAGAATCTTCTTTCTTGTTCTAAGATGTATGAGCTAGCTTAAGAGGACTCCTGTCAGCCCAAACTTCAGTCTTCACTCTGATTCTAAATATTCTTGTTTGGGGCTAATCGGACCTAAGGGACTTTCTGTTGTTGTTATTGTCCTGAGGCTTTGCCAAGAACTGCTTTCTTTTGGGACCTTCTACCTGAAATGTGGACAGCTGAGCAGAGTCTGTTGGTGGCCTTTGATCCCATTAGAGGGTTCTGAATTGGTGACCCAGATCCTTGAGTGAAATTTGATATTAAAATAACACCAAACTGAAGCCCTAGAAGATTCCAGTATAATGTATACAAGTCAGAAGAACCAAGACTTTGGGAAAATAAAACCAGTTTCAGGTGGCTTCATTTGCTCACTTGTGGCTTTCCTTTCACTCTTGAGTGACTCTTAACCCACCTCTTCACCTATCAGGGACACAGCGAAACATAGAGCCCCTAACTCCAATTTAAGGATTTTAGAAGCTGGCAGAGCGTGATAAACAGCGGCACTCTGTCATGTAAAAAGACCCAGTGACAAAGGCCACTAATGAATTTGAATGTCTCCAAAGTCAAGCACTACTCTGATGTCATCTTCCCACACTGTTTTATCTTTTAGGAGTTTTTCTTCATCACATTTGGCCTTTTTTGAGGGAGGCCTGACCGAGTGACCTTGCATTTGCAGATGGACTGTGTTTCATCTAGGTCCTAATATTTTCTTACAAGTGGCCTGTGAGCCTTTCCTCTCTGCTCTCTCCCCAGTGGCAGGCCTTCAGCACATGTAGTAACTAATTCAGCTCTTACTCAGACACAGTATTTCAGCTTCTTTATGGATTCATTTAGCAAGTGTTCATTGGAAGCTTACCATGTGCCCCGGTAGGACCTGGTCTAGCGGAGGAGGGAACGTCACCTTAAATACCAAACTGTGGGTGCCCCACCCGCCTCCCACTAGTCCTGGCCTGGTTACCAAGCACCATGCAGGACAGCAGAGTCACAGAGCTGGTAGAGATGTGGCCCTTACCCCTGATGCTGACAGTCCAGTGGGAGACACATGGGTGTCCGGTTGGTGTGGTTGTTCTTGATCCAAACTGTAGAATAAGCCACGCTACATTTTTTCATTCTCTGTAGCAGACTACATAATGAACTCAAAACAGGAAGAAAAGTAATTTGGATACATGAATGCCTTTAAATAGCTTGTGGATTTTGCTGGGAAAAAAAAAAGATTAAAATACTCCTATATGAAACTCTTAGAATTAGCCTATGGGAAGACTGTTTTAAATGCCGGTTATTTACCAATTGAATGAAAGAGAACTCTTTTTTCATCGTCATGAAAATAATAAATGCAGCTGAGCACAGAGTGATATATGGAAGTGTTGAATCACTCACTGAATTGTACACTTGAAACTAATATTACACTGTATGTTAACTAACTGGAATTCAAATAAAAACTTAAAAATAATAATAAATGCAGAAGCAAAGGCATATGGACTGTAAGTGGCCTTACCATTGCACTGCTTTGAAAATGCTTTCTTTTCTTTTTCTTTTTCTTTTCCTTTTCCTTTTTCTTTTTCTTGTTTTGTTTATTTTTAAGAGAGAGACAGAGCATGAGCAGGGGAGGGGCAGATAGAAAAGGAGACACAGAATCCGAAGCAGATTCCAGGCTCTGAGCTGTCCACAGAGCCCGATGCAGGGCTTGAACCCACAAACCAAGAGACATGACCTGAGCCAAAGTCAGCCGCTCAACCAACTGAGCCACCCAGGAGCCCCTGAAAAATGCCTTCTTAATGTTAAAATTGTAGTCAGTCAGATAGTTACCTTGGAAAGGGAGAGTTAATTTCTGCTTTGGTTTCTAACTTAGCTTTTTAGGACTCACACTGCAAGATTTGTCAGTGACAGTACTGAGATAGAATGCTGGAATTCATCTCTTTTACTGACTTTAGTTTTGTAGCTCAACTTCTGAGCAAGTGCGATGCTTTACCCTGCTTACTTTTTCTCTCACTTTTTTTTTTAATGTTTTTAATTTATTTCTGAGAGAGAGAGAGAGAGACAGCATGAGCAGGGGAAGGTCAGAGAGAGGGAGACACAGAGTCTGAAGCAGGCTCCAGGCTCTGAGCTGGCAGTCAGCACAGAGCCCAACGCAGGGCTCAAACCCACAAACCTTGTGATCATGACCTGAGCTGAAGTCAGACACTTAACTGACTGAGCCACGCAGGTGCCCTTCTCTCACTTCTTGATAAAGTCTGATTCGGATGGTGCGAGAGCCATTCAGACTCTACTTATTTGCCTCCATCCAGCCTGTGGTGATAGTGCACACATCTAGTACTTAGGCCGTTTAACTAGAATCAAAAAGACAATAACAACTGTTAACAAGGATGTAGAGAAAAGTGCACTGTTGGTGGCACTGTTAATTGGTGTAGCTACTGAGGAAAACAATTTGGAGGTTCCTCTAAATATTAAAAGGAGAGGGACATCTGGCTGACTCAGTCGGTGGCACATGCAACTCTTGATCTTGGGGTCATGAGTTCGAGCTCCATGTGGGATATAGAAATTACTTAAAAATAACATCTTAAAAAATTAAAAAAAGAATTATATGAACCAGTAATTCCACTACTGGCTATTTGCCCAAAGAAAGTGAAAACACTCATTTGAAAAGACCTATGCACCTCTGTGTTTATTGTAGTATCATTTACAGTAGCCGAGATCTGGAAGCAACCCAAGTGTCCATTGATAGATGAATGGGTAAAGATGTGGTGTGGTGTGTTGTGGTGTGGTGTGTTGTGTGCTGTGGTGTGGTGTGTGTGTGTGTGTGTGTGTGTGTGTTGGAATATTACTAAACCATAAAAAGGATCAGATCTTGCTATTTGCAACAATATGGATGGACCAAGAGGGTATTATGCTAAGTGAAATAAGTCAGGCAAAGAAAGACACATACCTTATGGTTTCACTGATGTCTGGAATCTAAAGAGCAAAACAAACAAAAAGCAGAAATAGACCCATAAATGCAGAGAACAAACTGGTGTTTGCCACGTGGAAGACAGGCAGGGGGACGGGCAAAATGGGTGAAGGAGAGTGGAAGATGCAGGCTTCTAGTCATGGAATGAATCAGTTGTGGGGAATGAAAGATACAACATAGGGAATATAGTCATTGGTATTGTAATAGCATTGTGAGGTGACAGATGGTAGCTACACTTGTGGTGAGCATAGCATAACCTTTAGAGATGTTGAATCACTATGTTGTACACCTGAAACTAATGTAGCATTGTGTGTCAACTATAATTGTAAAGAAAGGGCAGCTTGGTCAAAGATGTTTATTATATTAGGGCTATGCTGGCTTCCGTTGTATTATATACATTCTTTTATTTTCAGTCAGTGAACTTTTTAAGATATAAATAATTTAGAAACAGTTTCTGTTACATTTTTAAATATTCTTAATTTTTTCTTAATTATAGAGCAAAGAGATTGCATTCCAACTTCATGAGGATTTGATGAAGGTTCTTAATGAACTCTATACGGTAAGTACATAATATTTCTTCTTTTGCAAGAATCTTTGGCTGAGAATTTCGCTTTGCAGAAACAAAGCGAATTTTAATTCTGATTAGAATTCATTCCAAGTTATGGTATTGATGGATGCTTCTCTTGTTGAAAGTGGATCCAAGTGGTTAGATGCACACTACTACATTCTTATGCCACTCTCTCAGTTGAGGAGACTGTATTCAAGTGAATATGTATATGTAGTTAGCATACTTTAAGAAACTAGAGTTTAGGTGTCCCAGTAAGATTATGTTCTTAAGTGGCTGGATTATATGAGATCTATACATATATTTAATTCCAGAATATTTTGATTTAAATTGTTGCCATTCTTTTTTTTTTTTTGAATGCCCATTTATTTATTTTGAGAGAGAACTCATGAGTGTGAGGGGGGAGGGGCAGAGAGAGAGGGAGGGAGAATCCGCAGCAGGCTCCGTGCTATCAGCATTGGAGCTTACATTGGACTCAACATTGGACTCCATCCTACAAACCATGAGATCACGACTTGAGCTGAAACCAAGAATCAAATGCTTAACAGACTGAGCCACCCGACCTAATATATTAAAGTAACGTTTGGGGAGGTGTCTGTTTTTCTTCTTGGCAATAATTTGCTTTTTTGAATTTAAATTTTATTCAGGTTACTGCCTATAATCATAAGAAATTAAATAATGTAAAGCTATTTTATATTTTAAAAAAACAATGAGGTTGCAAGTTGGGGTTAGCCATATGTCTGTGTAGAATTTTTTACGCTTAATGATAATAATATTTTTTGACATGGAATATTAGAAATTTCTTTATTATTATCTATTCTTATTAAGCACCAGCTTAATACCACAGAAAATTTCAGGTCATCCTTTGGCAACCTATTCTTCCCTCCCTCACCTAAGTTCTTGATAAAGAGCTCTTCAAGTGAAGAAGACATGCTCTCTTCTCTCTTCTGTATAAAACTTTATCAAATAAAAGCAAAGAACTGTGTGCATCTTGCTATAAAACACTGCCCAAGGCTGTGGAAGAACTGGGTCTTCCCAGGCTCCTTTTACTCTTCAGGTCCTGAAAGACTCTTATTTATAAACCATCTCTTCACAAAGCCAGTCTGCCACGTGCTGAGGGTCCAGAACTTTCTCACAAAGTCTCAATCCAGTCTCTTATCTCTGCTGCTGTAAGTAGGCCCTCATCACCTCATCTTCCTGTTTGTTTCAGGTTTGGAATAAAGTGTATTAAGTGGAAAATCAGGGTCTCCAGGAATGGGGAAGCTAGTGATTCCCAGCATATACATTTCTTTCTCACCTTGGCCTTTGGCGTTGATTTTTGGAGCTTCTTTAGAAACTCAGGAATGTAGAGATTGTATATATCAAGGTTCTATCAGCCTCATTCTTAATGAATTCAATCATTCATTCATTCGTTCATTCATTCTTGAGAAACACCTTGGCCTTGACATAAGAGATGGCTTAATCCACAATATCTGTATCACTTGTCTTTGTAGGGGCAGGTCCTTTGAACTTTCTTCTAATAGGCAGCAGTACCGTGTTTCCAATGAGTTTGGCTTCAGAGTCTGTGAGGGAAGAGTGGTAAGCCGGCATCTTGGCAGTGCTGGATTTCAAGCTGTATGAGGAGATTGGGGTTAGAGCACAGAGCTCCTGGTCCGGTGGCCCACATCTTTTATTATTAAATAAAAATTCCTTCTGGAGCAATTTGATGAGTTTTTATTTCATAAGAGAGAATCACATGAGAAATGAGTAATATTAATTTGCTCTAGCTATAGATATTTGCATTTTTATTGCAGAAGGTTATTTGAATTTTTATTTATAGGGAAATCAAACCTGAAACATTAACATATGTTTCTTGATTTACAAATTCCATTTGTTCTTAAAAAGCCGTGTGTGTGAAATGCAATTTTATAAATTGTTTTTAATGCTCCATTGATACTTGCTAATTGAAAGACACTGTACTTTTAAGCTTTTATAAAGTGAGTGTTAGTCTTATAAAATTCACTTTACAATTTTTTTGTACATGTGTGATAAATTTGTATTTTTAATAAGCACGTTTGCTACCCCTGTACTTAGAAATTAAATTGACAATATCTATTTGTTAGTTCCTCCTTAAGGAACTTTTAACTTTGCTTGCAAAAGCCTCGTTTTATAAGGTCATATCCTATGACAAATCCCTAATGACAGGGAGTTTTTGGTGTTAAAGGCCATTTATTAGCCCATGCTTTGTTAATTTCTGATAACCTAAGTTAGCAACCATTTCTAGATTTAGTATTCAGAATTTAGATTTAGAATTTAAAACTTAAGTGAGTATCATGCCTCTGAGCTATCCAAAGAAGAAATTCTATATCCTCTTTCATTGAACTGTTTTAAGATGAGAGCTTCATGGCACTTTCCTTGTGGTTCCCTTTGCTTGGACATTGTTTTATCTAGAAATATAAATCAGTCTCTAATACTTTAAAAAATAAATCTGCTGGTTGTCCCAGCATCATAGACAAGAGTGTGCTGGTTATGGTGTGAAACTAGTAGTATTAAAGCAACAATGGCAAAGATAAGCTTGGTTGTTGAATATGAAGAAAACCAGTTAGAATGTTGTGAAAATTTTATCTCCGTGAAGGGTGTGTATAGTGAAATTTCTCCTGGACTCAGCCTGTCAAATGTGCTTAGACATTTATCAGACTCTTTGTAGATGAATCAAGTAAGCTGACTCCTCAAAACGCTTATCATTATAAGTCTGAAAGCCTGAAGGAGCTTCTAGAAGAGGCTGCTGGAGTTTGAATGACCCTGTCAGAGTTGTTTAACCTCTCAAAGTCAGTTAAGGAAGTAAGGGATAGAGGGGTTGAAGTTTTAATTAGGTAGTCTGTAGGTCACTTTGAACTCTTGGGAAAAATCTTTATCTTAACCAGAGACCATGCTCATCCAAGGTCAGAGGTCTTGTTCCATAGGGAAAGACCTTCACATTACTTAAACACACACACGCACACACACACACAATGTTTACTATGAAAGAAGATGGTATTTGGTCTCTCCTGAACTTTAAATTCAGATACACAAATTCTGTCTTGTTCAGATAAAATCTGTTTATTACACATAATGAGTTTGTATTTAAAAAGAAAAGCTGTTGGGGCGCCTGGGTGGCTTAGTCGGTTAAGCGTCCGACTTTCGCTTAGGTCATGATCTCGCGGTTCGTGGTTCGAGCCCCGCGTCGGGCTCTGTGCTGACTGCCAGCTCAGAGCCTGGAGCCTGTTTCTGAGTCTGTATCTCCCTCTCTCTCTGACCCTCCCCTGCTCATGCTGTCTCTCTCTCTCCTAGAAATAAATAAAAATATTTAAAAAATAAAAAATAAAAAGAAAAGCTGAGGAGTGTTTGAAAAGTGGGCCAGGGATTGGGAGGAATGTGGTTGAGGGTCCTTGTGCAGCCAGACTGACTGGTCATGTACAGATGACCCGAGTTGCGTGGTGCATGGAATTGTGTACAACTGATGATGTAATAATGATCACTGAAGCAACAGGTATAAAATATGTAGCCTTAAGAAATTGAGGATACTATTTAAGTGCCTTTTTAAAAAAATTTTTTTAATGTGTATTCAGTTTTAAGAGAGCATGAGCAGGGGAGGGGCAGAGAGAGAGGGAGACACATAGCATCTGAAGCAGACTCCAGGCTCTGAGCTGTCAGCACAGAGCCCAGTGTGGGGCTTGAACCCACAAACCATGAGATCATGACCTGAGCTGAAGTCAGGCGCTTAACCAACAGAGCCACTCAGGCATCCCTTAAGTGCCTTTTTAGACAAATATTCATTCCTCCCTTTTTTTCATTCCCTCATACTCCTTGGAAGTCGAAAGTATCTTGAGAAGTACATTAACTTCCTTATACCAGCTTCACTTTAACCTTACAGTCAACCTTAGTGGTGAGCAGCAGCCTCATGTGTGGACTTGATTCCCAGTGATATTTGTCCCAGAGGCGTCTTGGTTATTCCAAACATTCTATGAGAAGAGTTTGTCTTAAGTAAAATACAGACACCCAGAAAGAGTAGAACGAGATGCCTTATGATCATTTGTGGCTTAGAGTGAACTGTGTTTTATCACATCCTTTGAGTTTAGGTTGTGTGTGTCAGGCATGAAGTCCTGGAATTCTGAGCAAGGGGCAGAGGATGGTGGCCTCAGAGTGCTATCTGGAAGGGGAGGAAAGTCTTTGAGGACATGTATCTCCTTTTCCATATTTTTTCCTCAGCCTTCCCTTTATTTGCAGAAACATGGCTTTAAAATGGTTTTGAGCCTCCGTTTGGATTCTTACACCACCACAAAGGCCAGCCAAAGCAGTTAAATTAGTTTGGCCTTGAGGAGCAAAGATACTCAAACCAATGGTGTAAGCAAAATAGAAGTTTATAATCTCTCTCACATGAAAGAATTCTGTCCTCTGGTTGGCAGCCCAGTGTTGGTGTGGAGGTTGCATAAAGCCATCCAAGAATGAGGCTTCTCCTAACCCACTGTCCTGGGAAATCTAATTATAATCTTTGTCGTTATATTTATGGTAGTTGCTAGAGCCCCAGCCATTACACAGGTATTCCTCAAATGGAGAAAGGAAAAAAGGGGAGGCCTCCTATCTCCCAGGGAGACTTAATGAAAGTCCCATGTCAAATTTTCACGTAATCTTTCATTGGCCAGAACTTAGAACAGGATTCCAGCGGGCTGTAGGGAAGTCAGGGAGTTAGTCTTTAGGCGGCCAGCTCATTGCTAACCAGTTACAAATTGGGGATTCTGTTTCTTTGAGAGAGGGGGAGAGAGATTTATAGTTAACTAGCTGTGCCTGTCAGAGTAGCCAGCCTTTACTGCTTGCTCAGTATGTATATGCTGGTTATTGTGCTAATAAGCACATTACTTGCATTAAATCGTGTGATCCTCATAGCATCTGTGATCCTCATAGCATCTGTCTGAGGTCATTACTATCATTTCCCCCATTTTACAGATAAGGAAACTAAGGCTCAGAGAGGCTTGGCC